ACAGCACTGACCATGCAAGTGAAAGCAAACATATACAAATGGGACTATATCAAACTAAGAAGCTTCTGCACTTCAAAAAACACCAGTGATCAAAATACAGAAAGAGCCCACAGAATGGGAAAGAATATTTACCCGATACCCATCTGATAAAGGATTAATATCCAGGATATACAAGACACTAGTAGAATTGTACAAGAAAAAAAAACCTCCAACCCCATCAAAAAATGGGGAGAAGAAATGAACCGAAGTTCCTCAAAAAAAGAAATACAAGTGGCCAAAAGGCACATGAAAAATTGCTCCACATTGTTAGCCATCAGGGAGATGGAAATCAAAACAACAATGAGATATCATCTTACACCACAGAGACTGGCACACATTCAAAAGAACAAAAGTAACCAGTGCTGGTATGGATTTGGGGAAAAAGAGACACTCTTTCACTGTTGGTGTCAATGCTTACCGGCCCAGCCTTTCTGGAAAACAATATGAACAGTCCTTCAAAAACTAGAAATTGAGCTTCCATATGACCCCGCCACTTCTGGGAATACATCCCAAGGATGCAAAAAAGCACAGTAGAAATGACATCATTGCAGCACTTTTCACAATAGCCAAAATCTGGAAATAACCTAAGTGCCCTAGAACAGATTACTGGTTAAAGAAACTTTGGTAAATCTACACAATGGAATACTATGCAACTTTCAGGAGAGATAAAGTCATGAACTGTGCTTATATATGGATAGACATGGAGAGTATCATCCTAAGTGAAATGAAAGAGAGAGAGGGACAGACATAGAAGGACTGCACTCATTTGTGAAGTATAAAAAAAACATAACATGAGGCTGACACCTAAGGATAGTAGATTCACAGGACAGGTAGATTACTCCATAGCTGGAAGCCTGCCTCATGAGCAAAGGGGAGAAGGCAGCTGGAATAGAAAAGAGATTACTAAGAAAACAATGGCTTGAGGAACCGGTCGGATGGGAGATGTGTGCAGAAAGTAGATAAAGGACCAAATATGATAACCTTTCAAAGTCTGTATTGCAAAGCATAATGCCCCAAATAGAGAGAGTATGGGGAATATTGTTTGCCGTGGAGGGGGGGGTATACCGGGGATATTGGTGGTGGGGAGTGTGCACTGGTGGGGGGATGAGTGTTTGATCATTGTGTGATTGTAACTCAAACATGAAAGCTTGTAACTATCTCACGGTGATTCAATAAAATTTAAAAAAATAAGATACTGGGATCCGTGGTGGTGGAAAATTGGCACTGGTGGAGGGATGGGTACTTGATCACTGTATAATTAAAGCCCAAGCACAAAAATTTGTAAATCTACAACTGTACCTCATGGTGTTTCACTAATAAAAATTTTTGAAAAAGAGAGAGGGGGAGAGAGAGAAAGAGACAGAGAGAGTCTAGACTTTATACTTGAATGTTACTGCTGATTGGTCTGGAACAGTCCAGCCTCTGCTCTTCATTGAATGTGCAGGTACACACTCACTGTCCTTAATGTCTCTGCCCAACAACGGCTCACAGGTTGGCACCCAGTTTGAAATGACATTGCACGGAATTGTCTCCAGTGAGCTCCTGGGAGTGCCCAGGTCATATTAAATCTTGCACAGTCCTTGTATGTGTGATTGTTTATCACTTGTATGTCTGTTTCATTCTCAGCAACTGACACTGATGGACTGACGTTGAAGGTGACAATCTGACTGACTTTAGCGAGGTACATTTTTGTATAATCTGGTTTACTGACAGGCTTTGCAGTATCTGTTCCAATGACTTGGAGAAAGTCTCTAAATAGCAGCAGTACAGAGATCATCATCAACTGAAACCTATTAAGTTGCCACGAGATGGCAGACAAACCCCATACATGACAAGAGAGACCCTGAATCCTTGAAACCTTGAGACAGAAACAGGTCCATTGTCAGAAGGGACATTGCTGTGGTGGGAAAGTGTAAAAGCTGTTAGAGTCTGAGTTGTATCTGCTTAGAGTCTAAGCAGATATTTCCCTTTTCCTGCTGTGGGGATAGAAGTCCTGTCCTGCCTCTTTGCTATGAACTTTTGATCCCACATCCAGTGTTCATAATTTGATTTAAGTTCTTCTGTGATATTTCAGAGAGAGAGCAGTAGAGTCACTTAAGGTAAAATGAGCTCACAGGAGTGGGATTAGATGGGAGTATAGGGACACCAGGGAACACGGCCCCCACCCCACTCCCTTGCAGTCGCCACAGGCACAAATTCCAAAAGAGGCTTGTTAGGACAGGGGAGTGAGGGACTCCTGATGACAGGAGAAGGGTCTCACAGGAAGTGACACTGAGGGACCTTGACCTTCAGTCTGCAGCCTCCCAGAGTGTGAGCATCCCCTGTGTGTGGTGTGAGCCCCCAGCCTGTGTGTTTCTGTGAGGGAGCCTGAGCTGATGCGTCACACCCAGCACATTCTGAGCAGGGTCTGTCTCAGGGCACTTAGAGAAGTTGGCCCTGAGGCAACTTTACTCCTTTTTCTTCTATTCTGACTGCTGAGGAGAACTCAGAAATCATTTTAACTTTGTCAGACAACACCTTGTTGATGAAACTGCTGGCTGTTTCATTTAAACCAGAAATCCATCAAACTGAAGGAACTATCACCTTGATAGTTATGTTTTGGGTGTCCTTATGCTGCTCCAGAAGACCAGTGTCCCTACAGGGCCAATATGAGGGTTCAGAGCATCAGAGACTGAATCTAGCTCTGCAGCTTCTACTCAGCGCATTCCCCCTGAGGCTCTGCAGAATGTTGACAGCTGCTCTGTCCCTTCCTCATCATTAGAGGAAGCTGCCACAGGAGCTCAGACAGTCTCTGTGTGCTAACCACCATCTGAAGCTCCTGTGGTGGAATGCGCAGTCATAGAGCCTCTTGTGACAACAGGATTGTGTGAACACCCTGGAGTGTCATCCTCCTTCTTCCCAAACACCTTCCTCTTCCATAATAACCACCTCAGGGCAACTCCTCTGGTGCAGACAGTGAAGGAAAAAGTGTGTGTCTGGTCTGAGCTGCTCTTCTGAGTACACGCACCCAGGGCACCCGCCTTCACTCTCTCTGGTGCCCTTTGTAACTGAGGTCTCTTGTCTCCTGTCCTGCCACTAGTAACCCTTACACAATCCTGTCTCAAAGAATCCCTCTCAGGATTGCCCTTTGGTAAGTGAGTTGATGGGAATCATAGAGTATCAGTTGGTTAGAAGTTTGTTCATGGGGTCATCGGTTGTCTAATGAGAGCAGAACCCTGGAGGCCACAAGAACCAAAAGTGGAGTAGGGTACTGCATGCTCTGATGGGATATCTCTCCTGCCTAAATCAGGTTTGAGGTCTCAAATGACTCTGGAGGGTCCTGTCAGGGGCCCTGCAGAACTTGAGGCTCCCTGTGCTGCCCCTGTCTGACAGAAGCACCGGGGGAGGCCCCAGCCACAGGCTGATGACTGTGAGGAAACTCTTCTCCACTAGAATCCATGATAACTGTAAGGCTCCCCTGGGACCTTCTGTGGTACCTTCCATGGATCTCTGACCCTGCCTAGGGCTCTGGATTCCTCATAAATAGAAAACTACCAGATGGACCAGCAGTTTGTGAAGGGCAGTCCTTAGACATCATGAAACTTGAATTTGATGATATGGAGGGTCTTTGGGGCTTTTAATATTTTGTTGGTTTTAACTCCCAGGGACATTCTACTGAATGAAGACACAGTGATTGAATGGTGGGGGGGGGGGGGAGGGAATCATCACTAGAGACTACACTGACTCATCTCACCCACCACTCTACCCTTACCACATCATTAGGGTATTATTACCTGTCAGAGCCTAGATCCCAGGCTAGGCACTCTCATGCCCACTTTGATGCCCACCTCTAAGACTGGTCATCATTCCTCTGTGGTGTCATACCCTAAACCTTACTGAGTCTCAATGCCCTGCGCCTGGGCTTGCTGAGAGATGCTCAAAATTATAAGATATGTTTGGAAAGATAGTACAGTGGGTAAGGTGTGCGCCTTGCATGTGGTCAACCCAGTTTCAATCCTTGGGTCTCTTAGGGTACTCTGCACCTCCACCACTAACCTTGTCAGGAGTGATTTCAGAGCATAGTGCCTGGAGTAACCCCTAGGAACTGCTATATGTTGTCCAAAAACAAACAAAAAGAAAAAAAGAGATGTGTGATATAGGATGTGAACTGAAGGAGCACAGTGCATTCAAGGGGAAGTTGGTGGAGGAGACTCATCTCATCTATCCCTTCACTGGAGTCTATACTGACTCATCTCACCCAGCACTCTACCCTCACTAGCTCACTGGGGTATTAACCCCTGTTCAGAGCCTAAATACCAGGTTGGGCACTGCCTCATGCCCACTTTGATGCCCTTCTCTACTAACTGTGAGTCATTTCTCTTTGGGTTGTACCCTATCCTTACTTAAATCACATTGCTCTGTACCTGGTTTTCCTGAGAGCTTCTCAAAATTAGAAGAGATGTGTGTAAAGATAGCACAGTGGGTATAGTATTTGCCTTGCATGTGGCCAACCCATTTCAATCCTTGGCATTCCATAGGGTACTCCACAACTCCACTGAACTTTGTCAGGAGTGATTCCAGAGTATAATGCTAGGTGTAAGCCTAGGGAACTTCTTCATGTGGTCCAAAAACAAAACAAAAAAATTGAAGAAGAAAAAGGAGAAGAAAAAGAGATGTGTGATAAAGGATGTGAGCTGAAGGAGCACTGAGAGCAAGAAACTGTGTCATGAACCTCAGGAGACCAGGGACCCGCCCTTCTGTGCTCACACTGGGGCCCTCCTGGGACCCAGGGAGGATCATGTTCTCTGTGGGCAAAGTTTTGCTTCCCCACAGGGACCCACACCCCTGACTTCCCTGCAGCTGTGCTGGTCCCCAAATACACCCTTTCACATCTGCCTGCACAGCCTTCCCAGCCCCCTCTCATTTGCAAGTCCTCAGAGCTCATGCCTGGACACCCAATAATAGTCTGTGTCACCCTGCAGGGTCAGTCTTTGTCACACACAGAGTGGACATGAGGGCCCCTGTGGAGCTTCTCAGCTTCCTACTGCTCTGGCTCCCGGGTAAGGAGAGAATGGGGGTTTACATGACTTTGGACTGCCTGGCTCTTCAGGTAAATTATCTAACTTATGATTAATGATAATGATGTCCACTCATATTTTTTATCTCAGGTGTCAGTTGTGCTACCCAGATGAGTCAGCCTCCATCCCTGTCTGCATCTCTGGGACAGAGAGTCACCATCACCTGCAAGGCCAGTCAGAGCATTTTTAGTGCTTTAGCCTGGTATCAACAGAAACCAGGGAAAGCTCCCAGGCTCCTGATCAATCATGCAAGCAGATTACAACCAGATGTCCCTTCCCGGTTCAGTGGTAGTGGATATTGGACAAATTTCACTCTCACCATCAGCAGCCTGGAGACTGAAGATGCTGCCACTTATTACTGTCTACAGTATAGTCATCTGCCTCGCACAGTGATACAGGCCAAAACATAAACCCCCGGAGATCAGCTGTATGAGCCTGGGCTGTCCCAGCTACTCCTCCCAGAGCCTCCCCCACTGAGGGTGTGTCAGATGCAGCGAGGCTGCGCAATGATGGACAGTTCTGGTACATGTCGAAGAAACATTTTCAGGCTCCATTATTCTTCTCATCCCAGTAGCACAGACATGATAACAGGTCTGCTGTTTGAATTTATAGAGAATATTTTGCCTTGCATGTGGCCGACCCAGGTTTGATTCCTCCGTCCCTCTCGAGAGCCCAGCAAGGTACTGAGAGTACCCCACCTGCACGGCAGAGCTTGGCAAGCTCCCCGTGGCATATTCGATATGCCAAAAACAGTAAAAACAAGTCTCACAATGGAGACATTTCTGGTGCCAGCTCAAGCAAATCAATGAACAACGATTTAGACACTGCTACACTGCTGCTACTATTTCCTGAAGAAAGTAGGTGATAGTGTCATTCAGAGTTCATATGTGCTCGACTGGTCACTCTAGAAGGCCTAGAAACCATGCTTTAAAAGATATATATATATATATATATATTTTATCATAATAGTTGTTTGGGCATTTAATTTTTTTAATTAATGAATCACCATGAGTTTCAATTACAGACTTATAAACTTCCATGCTTGCATTTCAGTCATACAATGGTCAAGTATCCATCCTTTCACCAGTGCCCATTTTCGACTACCAATGGTCCCAGCATCCCTCCCACCATCCCCACCATCCCCACCCGACAACCCTTCCCCCAACCCCGCCTCTGTGGCAGGGCATTTCCTTTTGTTGTCTCTCTCCTTTTGGGTGTTGTGGTTTGCAATAGAGGTATTAAGTGGCCATCATGTTCGGTCTGTAGTCTGCTTTCAGGGTACATCTCCCATCCTGAGCGGATCCTCCTAGCACCATTTACTTGGTGATCCCTTATGTACCTGAGCTGCCTTTTCCCCCAGTATGTGAGTCCAGATTCTAAGCTGTGGAGTAATCCTCCAAGTACTTATCTTTAATAATCTTGGGTGTTAGTCTCCTATTCTGTTATTTTCACTTGATCACTTGATATCCAGTTACTCAACAATTTGCTCGAGCGGGTGCCAGTTACATCTCCATTCATCCCTGTTGTGTGCTAGCATAGCCCAATGGCATCTGTTCATTCTAGGAACATGAAGAGCCTGAAACTAATCGTTCAGAGTCTTGACGAAGAAGTCTGACCATCTCGTAGGTGGATGTCCACGTGATATTTTGATGTCCCATGGAATCCAGTCAGTAATGGCTCTAGCCCAGCACTCATCTCTCAATCTCATTACGTGTCCAGCCCATCTTATTTTCAATGCCTTGGCAAACAAGACAGTGTCCCTGATTCTTGAGCATTGACAGAGGTCAAAACTTCATATTCTATCTCTCATTTGAGTGAAGCATGATACTCCAAGCATAGCTCTTTCAATTCCTCTTTGAGAGACCCAAATAGTGTTCTCATCCTGTTTTCGTAAGACCCAGATCTCTGAGGCATATGTTAATGCAGGAAGAACAGTGGAATCAAAGAGATGTGCTTGAAGCTGGAGGTTCTTCATCCTCTTAGTTTTTTCTTCAACACTCTTGAAGGCATTCCAAGCTGCTCTCTTCCTTCTGCGCAACTCAGGTGCCAGGTCATTCATCATGTTTACTTCTTGACCTAGGTACACATAACTGTTGCATTCGGAGGTGGTTGTTCTGGTGAGAGTGAATGGAACGTCAGAAACAAGACTGTGTCTCATGAACATTGTCTTTGTGAGATTCAGATGTAATCCGACCTTTCCACACTCATGGTGGAAGTCGGTCAGCATTTGTGCCACTTGGCTGATGTTTGGTGTTATTTGAACGATGTCATCAGCAAAGAGGAGGTGGTATAGTTGCCGACCATCTATCTTCACTCCCATTCCTTCCCATTCCAGTCGTCACATGATGTTCTCAAGGGTGGCACTAAAGAGTTTCGGTGAAATGGTATCACCCTGCTGAACTCCTCTCGACATTGATGATCTCTTCTTTGTAGAATGGTGAGATCCTGGTAATGAATCCGTAATATAGCTCACTGAGGATCCTGATGTATTGAGTTTGAACACCCTGATTGGCTAGGGCTTCGATGACCGCTTCCGTCTCAACAGAATCAAAGGCCTTCTTTAAATCAATGAACGTTAGACAGAGCTGCATCTTGAACTCCCTAGCAATGAGCAACCAATTAGCTTGGTTATCATGTGGATATGGTCAAGGTGCTGAATCCTTTTCGGAACCTGGCTTGCTCACATGGTTTTCTTTTATCTAGTGTTCTGCCAATCCTATTCAGGATGACTCGAGTGAACAGCTTGTAGATGACAGACAAAAGGCAGATTGGGCGGTAGTTGCCAATATCATTGATGTCTCCCTTCTTGTATAGTAGTACAGTCCTGCTGGTTTTCCACTGGGATGGAACCTTGCATTCAGACAGGTAGCGTGTGAAGAGCCGAGCCAGTGTATTGATGAGTACTGACGGTAGGTTCTTCAGGTGTTCAGATCTGACCTTGTCTGGGCCAGTTGCTCTTTGTTTCTTTACCGATGAGATGGCGTGTCGGATTTCGGAAGGGAGAACGTTGGGAATGACATATCCATCCTGCGGAATTTGGTATCGGGCTAGTGGACGTGGCTATTAAAGAGATCTGAGTAGAAGTCATGAATAATCTTCTCCATTGCCCTTCTAGAAAATCTGATAGATCCATCAGGACATCAAAGGGCAGTCATCTTGGTCTTGTAGTTGGTGAAGGACAGGCGGGCCTTTTATTTTATATTCCACAAATGAGTACAAGGTTTCTATGTCAGTCTCTCTCTTTCTGATATTTCACTTAACATGATACTTTCCATGTTGATCCATCTATATGCAAATTTCATGGCTTCATCTTTTCTAACAGCCTCACAGTATTCCATTGTATAGATGTACCAGAGTTTCTTTAGCCAGTCATCTTGTTCTTGGGCACTTGGGTTTTTTCCAGATTCTGGCTATTGTACACAGTGCTGCAATGAACATACAAGTGCAGATATCATTTCGACTATACTTTTTTGCCTCTCCGGGATATATTCCCAGGAGTGGTATTGCTGGACCAAATGGGAGCTCAATTTCTAATCTTTTGAAAATTGTCCATATTGTTTTCCAAAATGGCTGAATCAGTTGGCATTCACACCAGCAGTGAAGGAGAGTCCCTTTCTTCCCACCCAAGAACTATTATGCCAACTCCGGTTGCCTTTGTTCTTTTGGATGTGGGCCAACCTCTGTGGTGTGATATGATATCAGATTGTTGTTTTGATCTGCATCTCCCTGATGATTAGTGGTGAAGAGCATTTTTTGATGTGCCATTTGGCCATTCGGATTTTTTCTTTGAGAAGGTTTCTGTACATTTCATTGCCCCATTTTCGAATGGGGTTTGATGTTTTCTTTTTGTAGAGTTCAATCAGTGCCTTGTAAATCCTGGACATCAACCTCTTATCAGATGGTCAAGGTCACAGTCCTCCCGTTATTCATTGATTTGCTCAAGCGGGCCCAGTAACATCTCCATTGTGAGACTTGTTGTTACTGTGTTTAATCACTTAATCACTTAACTTCCCGTTAGTCGTCGATTTGCTCGAGCGGGCGCCAGTAACGTCTCCTTTTGTCCCTGTCGCGTGCTAGTGTAGCCCAATGGCATCTGTTCGCTCCGGGAACATGAAGGGCCTCAAACTGATCGTTCATGATCTTGACGAAGAAGTCTGACCATCTGGTAGGTGGGTGGACACGCGGTCTCTTGACATCCCATGGAATCCAATCAGTAACAGCTCTAGTCCAACGGTCGTCTTTAAATCTCATTACGTGACCAGCCCATTTGATTTCCGACACCTTGGCAAATGAGACAGCATCACTGATCCTTGATCGTCGACGGATGTCAGAACTCCGGATTCGTTCTCTCGTTTGAGTGAAACGTGATATTCCAAGCATAGCTCTTTCTATTCTTCTTTGGGAGACCTGAATAGCGTTCTCATCTTGTTTGCGTAGGGCCCAGGTCTCTGAGGCATATGTTAATGCAGGAAGAACAGTGGAATCAAAGAGATGTGCCCGGAGCCGGAAGTTCTTCATCCTCTTAGCTATTTCTTCGACGTTCTTGAAGGCGTTCCAAGCCGCTCTCTTCCTCCTGCGCAGCTCGGGTGCCAGGTCATTTGTCATGTTGACCCCTTGACCTAGGTACACATAGCTGTTGCATTCGGAGATGGTCGTTCCATTGAGAGCGAATGGGGCGTCAGGAACAAGGCTGTTTCTCATAAACATTGCCTTCGTAAGATTCAGCTGTAGTCCTACCTTTCCACACTCACGGTCAAAGTCAGCCAGCATTTGTGCCGCTTGGCTGATGTTTGGTGTTATTAAAACAATGTCATCAGCAAAGCGGAGGTGGTGTAGTTGCCGACCATCTATCTTCACTCCCATTCCTTCCCATTCCAGTCGTCGCATGATGTTCTCGAGGGTGGCACTGAAGAGTTTCGGTGAAATGGTATCACCCTGCCGCACCCCTCTCTTGACATCAACGATCACTTCTTTGTAGAATGGTGAGATCCTGGTAGTGAATCCGCAACACAGCTCACGGAGGATCCTGATGTATTGGGCTTGAATGCCCTGATTGGCTAGGGCTTCAATGACCACTTCCGTCTCAACAGAATCAAAGGCCTTCTTTAAATCAATGAACGTTAAGCAGAGCGGCATCTTGAAGTCCCGAGAAACCTCAATGAGCTTGGATATTATGTGGATATGGTCGATGGTGCTGAATCCTTTGCGGAACCCTGCTTGCTCGCATGGTTGTCCTTCATCTAGTGTTCTGCCAATCCTATTCAGGATGACTCGAGTGAACAACTTGTAGATGACAGACAATAGGCAGATGGGGCGATAGTTGCCAATGTCATGGATGTCTCCCTTCTTGAACAGTAGTACGATCCTGCTGGTTTTCCATTGGGACGGAACCTTGCATTCAGACAGGTAG